ACACACACACACACACACACACACACACACACAGGTGCTGCTCTGAGGGTTATTGTCCAATCATACTGTCGTGGGTTAAGTGTTCATCAGAGTGATGGCCTGGGGGAAGAAACTGTCCCTGTGCCTGGTTGTCTTGGTTGTAAATCCCACAAACATAACATCTATACCCAGTGAAAAATTACCTACTACATCCACCTCTCCACATTTTCCGCTGTGACACAAATGCAAACAACAGGACTAACACAACCACTAGTATTCATATTAGGGGACAGCTATGAGTTATCTAAACTTGTATGTTGTTATAGAACTCAAATTTGTCTGCGTGTTTACTACAAATCAAGTTATCCACACTCAGCAGTGCCTGAACTTATCTTACATAGCAGCATGACGCGTTCTGATCATTAGGGAATAAGCTAAACATAAACAGGGATTAGACTGAAAAGTTCAGGGGATAAATGTTTTGACATCAAACACAGGCAAGAAATTCAAAGCTACAATGACATTTTACCATTTCCTGTACTAAAGTGCTGCTATGAATTCTGACATTTACAGTAACATGTTTCCGTAAGTTTAACAGGTCCAATAATGAACACTATGGCAGTAAGTAAACAGCAGGTGTTGAAGTCCAACAGTGAAAGAAATGCAAGTATGTAAGACATGGGGAGATATAACAGCTCATTTATACACATTTTCCTTTCCTTTTTTCTTTTGTGCCAACCATATTAATGTTACAGACTGAAAGCCATATAATTTAAGATACAATCTCTGTAGTCACCTTGTTAAATATTATATGGTCTGTGTGTGTGTGTGTGTGTCAGTTGTGCCACTTACGATCTAGTCCGTTGACATAGCAAATAGAAACTTCACAGTGGCCCCACACAGCACTGACGATGGGATACAGTCTCTTGCCCTTTAGTCCTCTAAAAGCCACTCCTAGATACTGTCCATCTACCATGAAGCTCAGTGTTCCTTCGTCCATATCTAGTATCAGTGTCAGAGAGTCTGGAAGCACAAAAGACTCATCTGGCTCTAGAAAATAAGGGTATATGGGTGCTGACGTGGAAACAGGATGGTTCTTTCCATCATGGTAGAGCCTGTTCCGACCAAGGTCCCAGCCCCAGGACTCAGAGTCCGAGCCCACCAGGGCTGTGTAGCCCACTGAGTGTAAAGGTGCTTCAGCAGTAGCCACGCCCACGACAGCGTGTGTGCCTCTCTGTCTGGCCGGCCAGTGAATCCTCCAAACGTGGAGGCCCCTGGTGTAGCCTACCTTTCCTCGAATACAGTCTGTGCTCTGTGCTACAGGGTGTCGGTGGAACGTCAGCTTGTCGTCCTCTTTAACAAAGACATTCAGAGACCGGTCGTCAGGGTTCCAGGCATGGCGAAGTTGTGACTCAGGACTGGCTGGTGGCATGTCCAACAGCAAGTCCAGCCTGGGGGGTCGACAGTAATCTGGGCCACGCAATTCCTGGCGCACTGGCCGATAAGAGGGCTCTCCGCGTACATCCACTGACTTGATACTGCCAGAGATCTTTTGGCCCATGGTTGGTAGGTCCAAGGGAGGAAGGGACAGAGGGGAGGGAGATGGATAGAACAAGGGTGGTAATTAGGGAACGGTAGGTCCTGACGTTACCTCATGAGCACAGTTACACAGTGAGCCCTGGGTGCTGCTGTCAGACGTACACTCGTTTCAGCCAGGGGGAACCACAGTCCTGAAACACACACAGAAGAAAACATGTATGTAATGTACAGTCAAAAACTAATCATTTTTGGCTAACCAGTAATTAATGTGCAAACAGAGCATAGCAACTGACTTAGCTGGAAGTGGTAATGTTTTACAGTGCTCCAGTAAAACAGGTAAAATGAAAGTTTAAAACTGATCACTATCATTTTCAATACCAGACTGTATTTATAATGTTCGTCAACTATAAATTCACAATATTAATATAAGTGACAGCCAGAAACCTTCCAAAGAGAACTAAAAATAAAATTCATTTTAGAGATGCAATGATTACTTGATCAATTAACCAATCAAGGATCAACATTTTAAAAAAATGCTAAAAATACTAATCTTGCAAAACACTCACAGACCGGGTTACTCGCAATCCAAGGTTTTACTGTACCTTCCTTCTTAGAAACACATTTAATCATTTGTATTGTACAATGCAATGCAAACTGAACAAAGCATTTAGGGCTTAGTGCCTTTTAAAAAGAGAAATTCCATGAGCAGCCCACCGATAATGAAACACCAAGACAAAATTTGCTGCTGACTTCCTCTGAAAATACTTGTGCACTAAATACTCCTTCTTAGCCAATCCCTTCTTTACCAAGCAAACACATATGATGTAGGCAAACTCATATTTTATGTCTTTATAAGAAAATGTAACATGTACAAACAAAGGCACCAGCTGCTTCCAAACACATGCAGAGTTTCTTAGAAAGAACTCAACAGGATTCTTCCAGTGAAAGTACAGAACAGTAACTGGTACAGACCCACCAGGGGATGCTTGAATCTCTCTCTCTCACACACACACACACACACACACACAGTGTGTGACGGATAGACTAAAACAAGGTGAAGGCAGACGAGGAATAAAGAAAAAAAAAGTATTGACTTTGATAATAACTCTTGACATAGACACCGGTTAACAGACAAAGTCATTCACACAACACTGCCTCATGACTGTAACCCATGACAAGTGACAAGCTCTCCATTTTAATGTATACCACCAGAGACGAAACGTGGAGCCACTGTCAGACACATGAAGGGACACGGCATAATGTATTCACCAAGAAAGAGATTATAATTGCAGCGACTACTGACCACTCAGTTGACATTTATCTGTGCCTGTAAAACATATATGATATAAACTAGTGTTACTGCTCATGCACACACACCGATTCTGTTGGGACTGAGCCAAACAATTAGGAAGAAGGAATCAGCTGCCAACCAAAACTCAGCTCAGCTTCGAATAAAAAAAATAAATGGATCAAAATCAAGAATGAATTTCCAAACCTGGCTGCAAATTCACCCACAGCAGCCAATATCACACACACACACACACACACACACACACGCAGGGTGGGGAGGTTAATTGTTTACTAGTTAAAATCCATGGACAATGACGATAAACAGTGATTTTTGATAAATGTATCTGTTCTGCAGTTGGGTTAACCCTCTGCACAATCAGCACATTAGGCTACAGCTACTGCTGTGTGTAGCTCATGTGCACTTTCAGTTTGTGTCATAAAGGGTTAGTGAGTGAAAACTGATGGCCATCAGAATTAATGATAATTATTGAACTTAATCAGTATGATAAATTCTGTCTACTGTAGAATTAATTTGCATGAATAATTTAACAGAAACAACCTAAGTTAGAAAAAAAAAGTATTCTAATGCCATTTGTCTGCCCTGCACAGCCAATAAACCGTAACAAACGAACATCTTTCATATCTATAAAAAAACATTGAAACCAAGATTCTGTTAGATCTGGGAGCAGCAACAATTTTAAGATCCCAGCCAGAGAGCAAGATACAGTAGAAGTGGCCCTGTCAGCCTCTCTAAAAGAAACCCTTTGGGAATATTTGATGTCAGCCACATGGGGCTGCTGACACAAGACAGGCACTTCTGGCTGGTGGATAGCTAATTTCACCCCAGTGCTCAGCCTACAAGAGGAACAGCACTCTGTTCAGGGGGGCCACAGTCAGCTCTGTCACACGTGTGCACACGCACACACACACACACTCTCTTGGTTTTGAGTGACCAATCCCTTTATCTACAACATCTGAGGACATTGAGTGACCGATCCCTTTATCTACAACATCTGAGGACAAGGAAAACAGAAACATGGTAGCAAAGGGAAGCAATGTCTGCTATAAGCATCTGGGGAAACCCTGCAATCACTGGAGTGTTTCCTGAAAAACACAGAACATTTGGAAAGACTTAGTGCTGTCACTCCACACTAGTTCTGATGGTGAAAACAAAGTGATACCACAAAAACAAATACCAGCTGCAAGTGACTGTCAGTTCAAATTTAAATGCCCATGTGCCAACAACAGTAGCAACAAGCAAGTGACCAGGAGTCAGTCATTTCAAATGAGCACAGAGCGACAGTGTGACACATTTGGGGAATCATGTGGCAAAAAGGCAATCACATTTGTAACAGAGCCAGAAAAGATTGTCACAATGCCTTAACTGTCTCCTAAATTGCATCCAAACAGGACATGTATGACAAACAGTACCTACAACATAATGGACAGTGAAAAGGAGCATGAATGAAAGCAAAACTAAACAAAAACTACAGAAAAGCTGCAACTTTTTAACCAAACACTTCCAATTTGTATTCACAACATAGAACAAGAAAAATGTTTTTGTGCAGTGTCAATCAGAGTTCTCTTTGTGGACTCCCAATACAGAAAATTACCTACTACGGTAGTTTCATCTTGTATCTCTCTCCCATTCTTTCCCCTGGTCACAACAGGTTTCATAGACTCATCCTTCTCTCTTGATGGTCACAGTGCGTTTACAGTTTTGTTACAATTTTAAAACACAGCAGCACTGCTTGAATCCATGTCAGATTGCATATTTTCACCATGAAGAACCTTCGTGCCCTTTGGTCTCCCTGACATTTGACCAGTGTCGGGGAGCTATTCCAACCTTTGGACAAAACCTGACTGATGCAATATAGTGAGGCAACAGTGACTTTTCCAATAAGTAGGTTTAACTAAGCAACAGTTCAAAACAGACGGACAAGTGTAACTATGAGTCAGAATCTACCCACTTGTTTTCCAGCAGTGTAACGCAATACAAAAATGTTCAATGATGTGTCACTCTTTCACCTCTCAGACACTCATGTGTGAAACACTACACTGAAGGTCTAATGACAGGGAGCCAGCTGGAACACACATTCCTTTTTACAAGCAGATCAAAAATGTGGGTAGTTAATATAACAGACATTAAAGTTGACTTAAAGTGACTAGAAACAAGCATTAAAGTTACCACTAAACTAACCGCTCCATCAAAAACAAAAAACTTTAAGACAAGTAAAATGAATCCCATATTTTATAACACCTGAAATGCTGTTGATTTCATTCATTTCAGAACTTTTAGAAACAGTTTCTGGGCTTATCACATACTGACAATCTTGCCAATAGAAAGACGGGAAACCTGAGAAAGTGTCAGACTGAAAGAATACATAAGAGGTCAAGAGACAGAAACGGCCTGTGAGAAGAGACATCTTACCAGGAAAGCATTTGTACAAACAACCAGGCAGCTCTCACAGAGCAGTGTGAACACAGTCACAGTAGCCAAGTAGAAAAGTGGGAATACTTGCTCCTCAGTCTGCAGTCCAAAATGAGGTCAGTGCACAGTCAACAGCCAGACGAGTGTGGGACAGCGCAGACACAGGCAAAAAGAGAGAGAGTGTTTGTTTATGTCGATCATTCGGCGAGTTCCTGCTTGTGACGCGAGGACGGGGAAAAAACAGTTTGACTCCAGTTCCCAGCTAAGACAGGAAAACAGCTGCTGGAGGGAGGAGGGAAGCCAGGGAAAGACAGAGAGGGAGGGAGGAGGGGAGGGCTTAGAGTGGATGACGCTCTTTCCCAAGCAGTACAAAACCACCTGCTCTCTCACAGATGACTGGGCGTCTCTAGATGGAGATGAAACCAAACATGCACACGCGCGCACACACACACACACACACACACACACACCAGAATCAACTTTATTTGCCAAGTATGTCGACCGCACAAGGAATGTGACTCAGTGGTTCTCAATATGCTTTAATAAGGCAACAAGAAAAAAGAAGCCTCAAAACCAGTCTATTAATAACTATATACACACATATTGTGACAGAAGAGTAAATATAACTTGTACATTACGTTATGCACAAGAGTTATATTTACATATTGGGCTGGGGAGTGTTTGCTGTGTCATGTTACACAGACAAACATGGATTAACAGCTCATTTCCACTTTGCTTTGCAGGACAGTGGAAGAAGGGAGCTGAAGAAAACACCAGCTCTATAGGAACCTTTGAGTTATTGCTTGAATACAACATAGTTCAAAGTTTAAAATCTAGCATGGAATTTTGCTGACTAAGGTTTTAAAATTTAAGGTTTTCAGTTTCACTTTTTCCACACCAGTACACTGGCTAATTAAAACTAACTGCAATGGCCACCGTTTTTTTTTTTCTTAAGTTTACATCATTAAAATGACGTATCACAGCACAATATTTCACAACACCAACTTGTTTGTGTTCTCATTCACTACAGAACAGCAGTCCATGTGATGATCTTGCTTTATTAAACCACACCAGACTTTCCCTGTCTGTACTGCATACAAACTCAGCAACCGTGTTCCTATGAATTTTCTCAGACAACTTGACTTTCCCCCCACAAGCACGTGACTTAAGGACAAATTCAAAACTGCTAAGAAATTATCACTTGTCTGTTTATTAACCAAGCAAAAGATTTTGCTGCTTTGTAGATCACATCACCTTAGGCTCTGGGATATAGAGATGACTATTTTTACTGTTATCTAAATTTCTAGGTTTTATTGAATGATTAATCAAGAAAATGACTGACAGGTCAATCAATAACAAAATCTGTTATACTTCCCACATACTAGGATCATGAGCACCGTTTAATTACATATTCGTTGTTCACTGCCAGTAAGGTATAAACAGAAAACTGTGGCCGTCTTCATTAAAACA